ATTGCAGCATAACTCTGGTTTGGTTCAAGCCCAAGAATGACAGATAGGTACTGATCCACCAGATCCTGGTTCTTAAGAGAGAAAAAGCAAGGCACATTAACACTGCAGAACAGAACAGCTGTAGAATATGGCACATAGTGTAAACATCACCTCTTTCCACAGCCTGTTCAATTTCTTCACAGCCCCATCCACCGCCTGCTTGTGAGAGCCTCCCAGGACTTCCAAAAGGAGCAAACACTGAACCTCCACCTGCCAAAGGCAACAGCCAAAAAAACCTTTTGCAACTGCTTCTCAGAGAGCTCGTATCAAACAAGACATGCCAAGTGTCAGTGATTGTCAATGATTGTCAATGATTAGCTGAATCTGCTTAAGTCTTCAGATGATCTAAGTTCTTTCCAACCAAGTTATTCTAAAGCTGCCTTTGCTTTCTTCCTACACCTCGAGCAGAACCATGCCTAACAGTTTTGGAAACACTGAAAACAGATCACATTTTTTCTTTAAAATCTGTTCCAACTACATCCCAGTGTGCTATGAGCACAGTCGTACATTTGTAAAGGAAGTGAAAGGAAGGCAAAAGCTGTATGACAGAGTATCATATAGAGAAATTTCAAGGGAGGCACAAGGACTTTCTGTCACACTGCAGGCACCAGTAGCCATCTCAGTAGGTGGAACAACTGCAAAGGTGCAGGACTGCTCCACTCACGCTTTATGCACCTCCTGCTTTCACCAGGGGAACAGGAGAGTGATCACAATACACCAAATCTCCCTCTAAACCTAGATTCCAACTTGGTGTTTTCAGCTACATTCAGAATTGTTTGTAACATTGCAGCAACTTAAACACGTTATAAAAGTTGAGTCCATATCTGCGATGGGATATTTCAGAAAACCTTAAAGAACCTACCAGTTTTTTCCACGTTTCTCCCTGTCTCTTGTCAGGTGTTGGAAAGACTGTGCGTACAAGCAGGCATGTCCAGGAGAGTGCCAGCAGAGCTGCAGATCCACTGCTCTTACTGTTGTACAAACAGGAGAGGGAGGTAAATCTACACTTCCTACGATATAAATTACACCAACTAGACCTTTACAGACCCATTTTGCCCAAGTTAGAACAGCACCTGACTGACAAGCAATTTTATTACACAAAAATGCAGCTAAAGCCTTAGTTTTTACAGGAAATAGTCAGCCCTCAGAAGTTGTTTGTTTCAGTTCTGGTTTGGCACTCAAAGCTTCCAAATAGCACAAGAGGCAGCTGAACATTTGACAGGTGATGAAATTCCATTTCCTAGTAATTCTGGAGACTGTTTCTTGAAAGAGTTTGTTCCTCATCTTCCCAGACCTGAAGTTTAAGGCTGAATCGTAACTCAGCCCCAAACTAACCAGCAGTTATACCAGGATATTCCCTCTGCTTTCCCAGATGACATGGAAGAGGTAAGAGAGGAACATCTGAACAGCATTAACAGCTTTGTCTCTAAAGGCTTTTAACACCTCTGCCAAGCAGCAGCAGAAGCCTTATTCTGAACAGGGAGGAACTAGCAGCAGGTCAGAACTGCTTCCACACAAAGCGACTCACCTAGGCACTCCAGCCCTGCCGCCAATTCCTGACGACTGAAGTGAGTGCAGCAGGTTTTTTGCCGTGGCCTCTGGCTGGGATTCTGCGAGCTGCTGAAGGGCCAGCTGCAGGGCTCTGCGGGACGCCGCATCCCTGTGACAAACACGGATCAGGAACATCCTAAACCTGCCACACCGCACTGCTACCACCCCTGCACCTTGCTGGTTTTTATCCTTGCTGTTCTGCACAGTGGAGAAGTTTTTGTCAGAAATCTCCATTCCCTTCCTCAAGTGACAGCAGTTATGTGGAGGCCCTCAGGCAGATTGTAGAAGAAAATGGGTTCTGAACAGCTCCTCTATAACAGACTATGATTTAATCCCACCTAAAATTTTCTAAAAGGCATCTAAAAGACAGCTCTGTCTTCCTTCACAAGAACATGGGTGTTCATTCTTGCAAACTGAACCACAGGATTAAAGTTTTAATTTCAAAATTAAAGGTGAAACACAAGGCAAATTGTAAAACTTTTTAATGTCAATCTTCCCCTGAGAATGTAAGTACAAGATTACATTCTCTGGTGTCATATACATCTCTCTATACACTGCATGCTAACATTTCCAGACAGCCCAGACCAATTTAACTACTAAATACTGACAGATTACATAATACAGCCTTTCCACATCAATTTACTCACCGGTATCGATGCAGAGTAAGGCAGAAGAGTTTGCAAAGGCCTTTCACTACACCTTCTGGGAGATCTGTAATAATGTATTTCAAAATACTTCTCCATTAATCACTGAGCTCTTAATCTTTAACACAAACATGATTCACTTCATGACTGTAAACTGTAAACTGCATCTACAGAATTGCTTGCAAGAATCACAGTAAAAATTTGCTCTTTTTATACATTTTATGTGTATTTTTACAAATAATGGTAAAACTGGAACACACGAAACACAGTCATCTTCAGAAAATGAGAGAAGTTTAAAAAATTTGCTTCAGCTGTTTTATTAAGACCATCTGTAATCTTCCACGTTCCCCATCTCTATATATAATGTGTATCCAGATATTCCATGAGTACTGAAAGAAGAAGCCAAGAGTCATTAAAGAAACTCAGCTGATATACTAATGAAGAACTAACATACACAGTGCAATAACTACTGACTGGAAAAAGCAGATGTACCAAAAGCTAGGGTTCTGTGCTACCCACAAATCCCACACTTGGAATTAACTGTGATGGAGCACTGGCTCAAAATGCTGCCAGCCTCCTCCCTCAAACAAATACCCCTCACACAGCCTTCTGAAACAAAACATTTTAACATTCTCCTCCACCCAGGTAATCAGAACAGTACTCCCAAGCTTTTACCTTTCCCAGAAATGCATTTTCCCAGCTCACTGAGGATCTCTCTCCTCTCCTTCACACTGGCTGTAGTTACTTTCACTGCAAACCGCTTCAGTGTGTCAGAAATCTAAAACCATAAAACAGAAAAACACCAGACTGCCTTTGATATCAACCCACAGAACATAAACTAGAGCAAGCAGAACATGTCACTTGCTGCCACATGACCTCTTAGTGCCCAAATGTGAGTATCCACCATCTCATCCACCAAGGGTCACCGTGCTTCATACACTGTGAAACTCTTTTCCCAGGGCTCTCCAATTATCTGTGTTCTTATCTGTGCTCTCATGCTCTGTGAGAGACACTTACCCCTCTAAAAGTATCACAGAGTAAGAGCTAGGACCTGTAATCTGGAGTATAGCACCTTTCAAAGCAAAAAATAGTAACTTCCAGAATTCAAAGGAGCTTCTCCCTGTACGTTATCTCCTGAAGTCCAGGTAGTCTTGAAGGGGCACTCAAACTGCAGACAACCCAGGGAGACCTACACACCCAGGTTTTCTGCACTTATATAAACCAAAGCACAGGTCTCCAGGAAAGGCTTTTGAGATTCAGCTCTTAAACTGAGCAACTTTGTATCATCTTTCCAAAAGGCAGCGCATGTCATTAGAAACACAGAAAACTGTTCCTTCCATTTTCAATCTTCTTCAAAGAGCTTCTCAGAGCTGCTTTCAGTGAAGCTTTTTGCCTCCATGCTGGAAGGCTAATCCTGCACAGTGGGTTCTTGGCCTTTCAAGTCCATCCACACCTCCCTGAGACTGCCACCATTTCACACCCACAGGTCCCCTTAAAAGCTGGTTGGAAGCAGTGCTGCACTTCTGAACAGGAAGGCTGGGTTGAGGTGCAAAGGACGACCAACAAGGTCACTGACACAAGAACCAAACGAACCAGCTGGTGTTACGGACCTGTTATGGACCTGCTCTTCTCTCAAAGCTTTCAACTACATGAGTTCATCATATGCAAACTCAAACCAAGCTGCACTTAGTCATGCTGCTTAATGATGAGCAGAGGAATGTGCAGACATGAAAACGTGTTAAAATTATCCTAAGTCTAGAAATAAAAAACATAAATTATGTATAACACTACAGGATCTCACCAGCATCTCAGTGACTTACACAAACTCCAAAACCTCGAGTACCCTACTGAGTCTCCACGGAAAAGCCACTGGGACAGGCTTCACCAGTTTGCTTTTTATTTTAATTTTTTATGATGTTTATGTACACATTACACAGCCAACATACCTGCAATACTTCTGCAAACCAATATAAGCACAAAGGCAGCATTTTTACAAGTAAGGACCTGATGCTGAGCTGGGCTTTGCTGTGGGAACACCCAAGCCCCTCGGGCTGAAGCCGGCTGTCCCACAGCCGGGGCACAGGGAGCGGTCACGCCGCGGCCGGGCGGTGCGAACCGGGATCAGCCGCACACGGCGCGGCAGCCGGGGGTCGTGCGGCTCGTGCCGGGCCTCCATCGGGCCGGGCCCGGTCGGCCCCGCTCCGCCCGGGCTCCCGGCGGCGGCGCCTCCCCGCGGGCCGGGCACGGCGCGCTGCGGGCGGCTCGGCGGGGTCCGCCCCGGCTGCCACGTCCGCGGCGACTCCGGGCGCCGGGCCGGGCCCGCAGCCGGGCCGAGGGGCGGCGGGGGGGAGCGGGACGAGGCGCGGCCCCGGCGCGGCCCCCGCCGCAACCTGCGCGGCCCGTCTCGCACTCACCTGCGTGTCGGCCGCCATCGCTCCGCCGCAACCCCGGAACCGCTCGCGGCTTCCGGGGCGGGCCCGGCGCCGCGGCGATGGGCGCTCCCCGCCCGGCCCGGGAGCCGCGGCCCCGCCGCGCGGGCAATCGGAACGGGACGGGACCGCAGGCGGCCGCGCCGCCCAGACGTGCTGCGGGCACGGCCTGTGCTCCGCCCGGCCGGGGAGATCTACGCCGCGGCCCGAGAACAACCGCTCCCGTGCCGTGCCCCGGCCCGAGAACAGCCACTGCCCTGGAGAGCAGGGCCCCTCGGGTTACACCTTTCCCAAACCCCAGCTGATATGGAGACTACACCATCGATGCAGGCACATATGAAGGTGGAAAATAGCTTTTTATTTCTCCCATCAGGCCAACGCTGACAAAGGCAGAGGGTGGCTGCTGTTAGTCAAAGAGACCAAATCCCATGTCCTCGTCAGACTCCTCCGACTCCTCCTTCGCTGCCTCCTTCGCTGGAGCAGCAGCAGCGGCGGCAGCAGGAGCAGCTGCTTCAGCCACCACAGGCATAGCTGCCACAAAAGCTGAGGGGTCTGCCAGGAAGGCCTTCACCTGTAAAAGTGGGGGGAAAATGTAAACTCACAGGGAGCAAAACATTTCGCAGGACTGAACCTTTGCAATCATAAAAGTGCTTGCAACTTGCCAGAATCCAGACAAGTCCACTTATCAATAACAGATATGAAGAACCAAAGAGATTGCAGCTAAGCTTTCATCTCCAAATGAACACCAGGTAAATTAGCTTTCTCCTGCCGTTTGTACATAACATATGGAAGGAAGCAAGCGCCCCTTCTCCAGACAAATCACACACACAGGTGTGTACCAGTCCCCTCAAACCAGAGGACATGCTGTGAATGTGCCTAGCTGCACTTCTAACACCCCTCTCTGCAGAGCTGAGAGCCAGCCATTACCTTTTCAGCCAGTGGGAAGGTGTAGTCAGTCTCCACAGCCACGGCCAGGACACGCTTGTACCCATTGATGATGGAGTGGGGCACGGATGCAATGGTCGGGTACCCAATTTGCAGACAGATGCTGGCAACATTACGAACACCCTGTGAAGAAACAGACTTGTGTTTCCATGGTCTGAGAAATAATCTAGAAATCGCAGCAGAGGATGCCCACGCGACAACTTTTACACTGCCAACAGAAAGGAAAGCATGCAATGCACACTCCACTGAAATCAAGGCATCAATATTTAAACGTCACTGATCTCTGCTCTCTCGTAACCAGTGACAGGACCTCAGAGAACGGCATAAAGATGTGTCAGGGGAGTTTTAAGTGGAATAATAAGAAAAAGTTCTTCCCCAAGAAGGTGGTCAGGGACTGAACAGGCTCCCCATAGAATGGTCATGCCCCCAAGGCTGCCAGAGCTCAAGAAGCATTTGGACAATGCTCTCGGGCACAGGGTAGGATTGCTGGGGTGTCCTGTGCAGGGCCAGGAGTTGGACTTGATGATCCTTGTGGGGCCCTTCCAATTCAGGATATTCCATTATTACAACTGGCCTCAAATGATTTCTGAAGCAGATTCAGATGAAGAATCCTGCAGGAAGGTACTCCCTGACACACAGTTTCTCAAGGGAACCAGGGAGAGCTCCTGGCCCTGCAGGACCTCATGGAAAACACCAGACAGGACACTCTGTTCTGGCTCCCAGGGCAGCTGTGACACTCACCTCCAGAAAGCGCTTGTGCAAGGTCTCCTCAGTGATGTCCAGCACTTCAGGGTTGTAAATGCTGCCATTATCAAAGACCTGCTGGATCACCAACCCAAAGGAGAACGGGGAGATGTTCAGCATGTTGAGCAAGGTGGCTTCGCTGGCACCCACTTTGTCTCCAGTCTTGATAAGCTGCACATCACTCTGAGATGAGGGAAAAGGAGTGAATACACACTGAGAAATTCCAGCACATCAAAGTAATGGGACACAAACACAGACAGTGGAACTGGACAAGCAAATGAACACAACCAACATGCTCCACATTCAGCTCCACAAGCAGAGAAAGCCCCAGACTACATAAACAAGTCCATGAGAAAGGCACCACTTTTCCTGCATTACCTGCAGGTAGTTCACCTGCATGTTCCTCTGACAGAGCCTACCCGTGGAAATCTGATTAAGAACTTAAATCCCCCCACACTGCACACTGAAGCCAAGCCAGACACCCTCCTCCAGATCCCAAAGTGCAATAATCACACTGCATACAGTATCTTGGCACTAATGAGAGCTTTGGCCTTCACAGCTCCCTCAGCTGCCACAATCAAGGCCTCCCAGTAAAGGAACAGGTCGAACAACTGCAGCTCACTGACCAGAATTTCAATGGTTCCTCTGGAAATCTTTGTGGTGATGCCCAAGGCCTGGAAAAAGGAGGTCTTCTCAGGTCCAAGGCCCGTGTTCTGGGCTGGCACAGTCACATCACAAGGAGCGATAGCACCGGCACGGGCAGCAGCTGGCACCTGAGGAGGGAGAAACAAGGAGCTGCAAGAATGTTCACCTCAGATCCTGTGGGATCACCTCCTCCCTGACATACTCCTCCATGAGAGACAGCACCCAGGCACACACAAGTGAGGCAGCTAAACTTAAGCAGTTTGGCTAAAACTGTAAGGGCTAATTCCTGTCCCCCGTGAAGACTCAGTTTTATTTTGTAATCCATCTCAGCATACACATGCAGTGAGGGATGATCTCCCTTACCTTGTTAGCCAGCAGCATGTCCCGGATCTCAGTCAGATCCTCCTTAGTAAAGACAAAGCCCACATTCCCACGGATGTGAGGCAGCAGCCTGAAGAAAAGATGACAGCCTTCAGTTTTACTCCTTAGACAACCTCCCCTCCTTCAAGACAGAGCACCCAGAAGTGCCCTCAGACAGCATTACCCACTTTTCTAGAGCAGGGTTATTCTCCAGATGACCACGAATAGCTTTGCGCATCATTGTATTCTTCCCCATCAGCACAACGGCTTTTCCACGCAGGGACATACGGATCTGCTGCATCTGCTTGGATCCCACGTTGTCTGCTCCCACAATAAAACATTTTGGGTAATCATCCAGGAGTTGCTAAAACAAAATAAACATTGTAACTATACAAAGTAATTCAGAGCAGTGCATAGAGTAACATTAAAATCGCAACACATAAAATCGTAAAAAAAGCCTGTCAGAATATGATGAGCTCCAAATGAGACCAGGTGTGCCACAGGCTGCATCTTTTACTCAGCCATTGAGTCACATCCCTGAACAAGTCTGCAAGCACCACGGCAAATTCTCAGACCTGATCTGGAGTATTTCAAATCGCTTCCTAGTGCCAGGAACTCGTTGAGACACCCCATAGCACTCACCTATCTCTCTTAAAAGCCCCCACAGCCCGGCCCGCCCGGTTCCCGCTGCCCCGAGCCTGCCCCGCCAGCGCCCCACGAGGGCTCCGAGTCGACACTCACGATGATTTTCATAAAATAGTTGGACTTCCACGTAGCCCTGTCTTCCCTGGGCATCTCGGCGGTGCTCCAAGGATCGCCCGGTGGGTTTAAAGACGAGCTAGGACCTGCCAGGAGAAGAGCGGCTCAGGTGGGTCCCCACCGTTCCCTTCCCTCCGCCCGGGGGCCCAGCGCTCCCAAGCCCACCTCAGCCCAGAACCCCGCTCCTGGTCCCGGTCCGCTCCCCTCGGCGCGGCCGCCCAGCCCCAGCCCCAGCCGCGCCCCGGAGCCGCCGCACCGCGCCCGCACCTCCACGAGGGCTCCGGGAAAGAAAGGCCGCAGGGCGGGCCCGTCTCCTTTTATACTGCGGCTCCTGACCAATCGCAGAGCGCCGCGGCGCTGCCTGCCCTCAGCCCATTGGCTGCCCTCCGCGTCAATCATCCGCCGCTCTGCGGGAAGCGCGTGACGCCAGCGGAAGGCGCGAAGGCGCAGGAGCGCGGGCGCCCATCGCCCCCTGGCGGCCGGAGGAGTGCACTGCCCCCCCCCCTCCCTCCCTCCCCTCAGCCCTGAGGGGCCGCCCGGGCTCCGGTCCCTCACAAGCTCGGGGGCGGAAAACAACCGCGACACAGGCGTAACTATAATGGTAAAAATTTTATTGGCTTAACTGGAAGAATTTTAAATGAGAGAAGAAAAAAAAAAAAAGCGGAGTTAAAAGTTTACAAGGCAGGCAAGAATCAAATAATTGTCGACCCAGCGGAGTTTTCCCCCAGCCCAGCGCAGCCCAGGCGGGACATGCTGTGAAAGGCCGTCCCCAGGGGTAGCGCCTGGCCCGGGGGCACACACACCCTCCCGGAGCACCCCTACATCCCAACAGCGGCTGTGCTACCCTAAAATCCCATCTACACTGAACGAACAGGCATTTCGGGCACCCACCACCGGGCAGTATTTGGTAAAGTAGCATCAGCTGCTCGCCATTTGGCATCCCAGCGTATCAGACACCAGATGAAGGCAGAAGGTGAGTGTGACATCATCTCGGTTAAGCACTAAGGCCAGAGGACCCTCCTCTCAGTACCACTCACCCCACACAGCACCCTGCACCCAGGTGTGCCACACGTATCACTGACAAAGCCTCAGCCAGCAGTGAGGTAGCTTAGACTCCCCAGACAGGGAAACTGAGGCACAGGATTACACAGTTTGCGGGTGTCACACTAAGTGGCAGTGCCAGAAACATCTCACCCCTCTCCAGCATCTGCACACAACAGCTGTGTGTCCCTCAGCGGCACCAAGGAAGCTGATCATTCCAGCAAGATAAACACAGGCAGCTTAGGAACATCCATTTTAAGTCAAATAGACTTAAAAGATGAAAAGGCAAAAATGCACAAGGACTCTTGCCTCAAAATTTTCCCACAGCTGTGCTCAGCCCAGCTGACACAGCTCCAGTGTTCCCACAGCTCCCTCTGGCCTCACACCCACACACTGAGGTTTGTTAGTTGGGGGAAATCCATGGGACAGTTTCAGTGACCTGAGCAGGGCAGTGCAGCACTGTGACAAGGTTACGTGGGATAGTGACCCACGGGTTTTAGGGCTGGTTTCTGAAACACCCACCCCTGGACCCCTATAATGTACCTGCCAAGCTGCAAACACAACTGGATGTCAATGGTGACAGAGCTGCAGCTCCCTGGAGCAGTAATTCCAAACACTGCTCCCAGGGCTGGTACCACAGAATGCCACTGGGAATTTCAGCACAGTACTTCCCTCTCCACAGCACCCTCCAGTCAGAGACCTGAAAGTGCTTTACCAAACATGAACTAGGTCTCTCAATAACCTCACAAATCCAGCCTAAACTGCCCCCATTTTACAGATGGGGAAACTGAGGCACAGTAAGGTTTAGTGACTGGCCCAAAGCTGCACAGCTAGTCAGGAACAGACTGTCTCCCAGTTTCTTCTCTGTCACAAGACCTTTCTTCCACAGAAAGAAAGGAGCCCCTTTCCCAGATAACCCTGTTCTGGTTTCAGGCAGCTGAAGAAGAGAAACTAAGGTAAAAGATCTGAACTCCTTCCCCCTAGCATCACATTAAGACTCACTTTTGACATCCTGGAAGCTGGGCTTTGGGAGAACGGCAGGTGATTCCAATACAGCAGTTTACAGGTTACAATAAAAACCAAAATTATACCTTTAGGTGACCCAGAGGAGGAAAAAAACCCCAAAACTCAAATCTATTCACAGTTCACCTGCCTGTGCTAGGGAAAAAAAAATACAAGTCATGTTCCCTTGCCCATAGATTGCAGCCCCTCCCAATCCGCAACAAAAAGGAAATATTGAATGTTAGTTAGGCTTAATAAAGCATTGAGATTACAGATGCAGTAAGCCAGCACAACTGGCACACTGCCTAGAACAGCATAGCTTGATATAAAAGTTGCTTTCTTAAAATCACTTCAAAACCAATTTCTGTATAAGAGGATTAAAAGTAAATTAGATATGAATTCAAAATCAGTGTAGAAATATACAGTTCTTATCAAAGACAGGATACAGTATTCATTTTGATAGTAAAACTCCAAGTGTGTCGTGCACACCTGACCCCCAGGACTCATTATACCAGTAACAGTCAATATAAAAGGTTATTGCTGTAGCATCTCTCAGTAGAACATCTTTAACAAGAGCACAGAAAAGGGAAACACCAAGGGGCTGATAAGTCTCATTAGCAAACCGTAAGAAGAAAGGATATAAATTTAGGAATTTTTTTTTCCTGGCTTCTTAAACCCTTCCTTCTCATCACTCTTGTGATAGATTCAGGCCCTGATAGATGGGAGAGTTTCAGGCCAGACAAACACACACGCGTCACACTCGCTCATGACAGGGCTGGATGAAAAAGGCTGCTCTAACCTCTCTGCACCTGTGTTCAAAGAAGGGGTGATGCCTCTTCCTCTCCCAGGAGCAGTAGGTGAGGGGAGCAGATTCCCTGAGCTGGCCTGGGTGCCTATGGAGCTGCCTAGCACAGCATGTCCCCACAGGAGAGCACAACAGTGCTGAGGGATGGTTGGGGCTTACCCCACCTCCTGCTCCAGTATGCCGAGAAAAGGCATTGAGAAAGGGAGTAACAAACTAGGGAAAAAAATAAAAACACCCCACACAGTAACATCTTGATTCCTCTTAATTAAAAAAGAGTAAGTGGTATTATCTCCTTACAGTGTAATGGAACTGGAGAGACCCTTGCAGGGTCCTGGCTGCCTGTGCTGATGCTCTAGTCTCAGCAAGTAACACACACCATGTAACTCTGTGAGGAGTGCCAGGGTGGCACTAAAGTCACAGGGTGGCCTCGCTGTGCAGGCAAAAGCCAGAGAATGAGGTGTCAAAGCAGAGGGTCGTGTTGTCTGCAAGTGTCACCATTTGCTCAGAGAGCTGACAGAGGCTGAAATGTACTGGCAAAGCCTCCTGCTGCCAGGAGGGGGCTGGGAAAAATCTCCCTGTTAGAGCCCTCGAGCTAAGCTCAGCTGTCAGTCACACACACAGACACACACACACCGTAATGAGGGATGTCAGCCTCTCTCTTCTGAGACACAGCAAGGGCGTTTCCAGTTTAATGGTCCACCTCATCTCTGGATCTACTGCCTCTCCATAGCAGCACTTCCCACCCCCCACCCCCCTCCTCCCCTGCCTGGTAAGGTTCCTAAATCACAGTAATGTTCAGAGAGACAGAACTGCCAAGGGGGTGGCAGAAAGATGCTTGAGCGCCCATCTAGAGTGCCTCTAACAGAAGAGCTTGAGGAAGCAGTTCTGGCAGTAGGGCTTGTCGTTCTGCTCTTTGAAGGTTCCTTTGTTGAGCTGCTTGAGGCAGAAGGCACAGACAAAGTGTTCTGGGTGGAATTTCTTGCCCATAGCAGTGATGCAGCGTCCTGTGATGGGCTTCTGGCAGCCGGAGCAGAGCGAGCCGCGGCGCTCGTGGTAATGCACCTCGCAGTAGGGCTGCCCGTCGTGCTCGAAGAAGCTGCCATTGACAAACGGGGTGAAACATTCCTGCAGTAGGACAAAGCAAAGGCACAGGTTGTAAGAGAAGCTGGGGTAGTGGGGAGGAGGCAGCTCTACAAACATCCTCTGCTCTATGGCTCAGCCCAGCTGTGCTGTGGGCAGGTGAACTGCTGCCTTTCAGCACTGTCCAGTTATCCAGAGCCAAACTCTGTCCATCATGAGGAGTTTCCAAAAAAAGACTGAGAAATGGACAGATACAGACACAACCAAGGGAATTAATCAGATCCTTTGCCCAGCTGGCTTCATTTCTACATAGAAAATACTATGGATGAGCTAAGGGATGTATCCAGCCAGGAAAAAGGAGAACATTCCTGCCCCGAGATGGGAAACACTGCAGCACTTTTCCTTGGTTTTTTTTTTTCCTTTCTTCACTCCAGTTTCCCCACAAGGGCAAGCAGAAGAAAGGACCAACAGAGACTTTCATGCAGCAGAATCCTGATGAGCATGGGACTGGTTCCAGCTGAGAAAATCAGGCACAATTAATCTTTATTAGTGACCTCTCCAGAATGGCTGGCATTAGGCAGGTACACTCTGCAGAAGATTGTCCAGCCTGAAATATTTCCACCAGTTACACATGGGTCACTGCTGGGAGAAACTGTTTGTTCTATAGTGCTAATGATGTTGAATAAATAGGTATGGGGAAGAGGATACACCAGCTATGTGCTAATAAATAAATGTCCAGAGCTGCTCCCTCCCACTCAGTGTCAGGCAGCTGAGGACACTTCACTGCAGAACTTGCAACAACTATCCCCACCAGACCGGGGAGACTCCTCACTCCTCTCCTTGTAAAAGTGGGAAACTGAGGCAGCAGAGTAAGGGAGAGAGTTTAGGACACTGCCAGATTTACCAAATATAGCAGCAGCAAGACCCAGAGGAGCCAGTTTCCTGAATCCTGGTTTTGCTGTCCTCTTCCCCAGGGAGGACACACAGCTGGCTCCCAGCACGTGGACAAGAGTCCAGCAAACAGCATGCTGAGCCATGGGCAGCTAAACATTTGCAGTACCAGGAGAATGCAGTTTGCCTGCAGCCAGTCCAAGACTTTACCAATAATGACTGTTACTTCAGCAGACAGTCTCTTCCTTCAATCAGCAGAACAGCTGAAAAGTTTGCTCTGCTTTTGCAGAAAGAGGAAGAGAATCACATCTTGTGGCCTGGAAGAATTCTGTGCTGGCCTCACTAATTCAGGCTGCAGCAGGGGGAAAGGAAAACAGAACTGCTTGATAGAGTCTCAATCTCTGTATGAGAA